TGCTGGGGATCTTTGAAAGCAGTAAAAATAGAAGGAAGTTAGTCCTAGATCCACTTGAGTTCTCATGTTTTGAATGGGAAATTTTTCAATAGGTGATTCCCCCCCCCCAATCCCACTAATAAACAATTTATCTGTAACTTTCTTTGCATTGATGTCACCAGAAAACACCTAGTTTAGATAAAACCCTGTACCTAGGATGTTATGCCAGGAAGTTTTCATTCTGTCATTCTGCAGCCTGACAGCTTCCTGGTTTGTTAATGTGGTGTTCAGTGTGAGTTGTGTTAACACTATGTATGTGTCCAGTCAAGGCAGTGATGCAGCAGAAGAGCAGTCGTCCCCCTGTCCCAATTTCCAATGCCACCAAGCGCAGTTTCATGGCCAGCCCTGCCGGCACCAGCCCAGCAGACCTGCAGCCCTCAGCCCAGGCAGCCCCTGAAGCCTGCAGCAGGTACTACCTGCACCCCGAGGAGCCTGACTACCTGTAAGTCTGTCCTGTGCTGTTTTATCTTCAGTTCATGCCTCTGTTTGGATAACCTAGGGATTTGTGCTGCTAAAGGTTCTGGTTTTGCTACAAACTGAGTGAATTTGAGTTGGTATTTAAAATAGTCATAAAATCATAGAACCAACAGGGTTGGAAAAGACCTCCAAGATCATCAACTCCAGCTCTCCCGTGGTTACTGGACCATGGCACTAAGTGCCACATCCAGTCTCACCTAAAACCTTCCAAGGATGGTGAATCCTCCACCTCTCGAGTTTAGATACTAGGAAGAAATTCCTCCCTGTGAGGTGCTGAGGCACTGGCACAGATTGCCCAGAGAGGCTGTGGCTGCTCCATCCCTGGGAGTGTTCCAGGCCAGGTTGGATGGGGCTTGGAGCAACCTGGGCTGGGGGAAGGTGTCCCTGCCCAGGGCAGGAGGTGGCACTGGATGAGCTTTAAGGTCCTTCCAACCCAAACAAGTCAGTGTTTATATGAAAACAAATAGGGTTTAATGAACAAGGTGAATGTTAAGGTTATTCAACTGGTCTAAATTTGATGGCAGCCACTAAGTTATTTCAGCCTTCACTTTGTCTCTAATTTATTGTTTACATAAGCACCATTTTACATCTGTCTTCAGAACCAGTTTGATTTCAGGTAGTAGCTTTACTTTTGTATTGGTGCATGTGAAAGCATTTTATAAAATGAGTAATGTTACATTTTAGAGAGGATGAGGGTAGCTGTTACCAGTGTAGCTTCACAGCTGTGTATTTTTTCTCATGATAGAGAAGAAATTCCTGGTAGTAATGAATTTTTGTTTTTCTGCATTAGTGGCAAAGGAGGAAGCCCTGCCTTCAGCCCTTCCCATCCACTGCTGCCTCTGAGACAGAAGCAACAGAAATCTTTACAGGGTGAAGACAGCCCTGGTAAGGCCACCTGGAATTTGCATTTTGACAGGTAGTGACCACCAATGTCAGTAAAAGAATGAATAAAAATAAAAGCACATTTATA